GTAATATTGATATATAATATAATGCATATTGTTTATTTAGTAAATTCTAGTGGTTTATAAATTTAGAATTTTTTTGTAAAATTTAAAAGAATAATTAAATAAATGTTACTACACCCAAAAATCCTTTTTTTTCAGTGTAGATCATTGTGCTAATTGGACAATGCARTACAGTTAATTACATGACAGTCCTGTGAAGCACAGCCTTTCTATCCATTGTTTCGTTTTCTGAAAGCGTTTGTCAATGCTGTGCATTGTTATCGGCACATTTTTCATTTTCATCCCTCTCAAAGAGGATTTATTTCTCCTTTCTATTAGATCAACACGTGCTGCTTGTCATGACACACTGTGGCTCTATTTAAAGCCGTGTGACACTGTAGTATGCTTTTTCTAAGTCTGAAGTCAAGGAACCACAAGACAAAAATAACCCTCCCTCCCTAAGGAGACACAATGTTGGCTTGACAGAGAGCAGAACGACGGTGCGCTGCAGAGCAGAATCATTTAGTGGGATTCCAGAAAGGAATTACAACACTGGATGGGGATTAGCATGCACGAAAGACACGAGCGCACCAGGTTCATGCACCGCTGAAGAGAGCTCTGTGAGGGTGGTGGTCGTGATGAGGATTCTCCTGCAACCATTTACCTCATTTTGGTCGTCATGGTTACACAGCCGGAGGCCCGAGCTCTTGGACGCCGAGGCGGGAAGAGGAAGAGGGAGGGAAGCAGGGAAGCATGGCCCTGCAGAGAGGCTGCCACGCTTCCCTTTTTTGTGCATCAACTAACTGGACCTGGCAGTTAAAAAAAATATATCAGCCTTTCTGAACCAATCTCTGACTTTCACATCCTCACTATCTTTTTGTTTTGTAAAAAAAAGTAGCTATAACAAATCAAAGAAACATTTTATTACTTTGCACAATATTGGTAGAGTGTTGATGTCATAAAAAGGAAAATCAACAGAATTCTCATTACATTTAATGAGAAGTTAGCTCTCATTCAAACAAACAACATATTCTATCATATTATCCTTTTACAATACACTGTTTCAATAAAAGACAGAATAAAAGTGGAAATAAGTAATATTTGAGCATATTTGTGTTTATTTTTTCATTGACAGGTCTTGTTGCTGTCTGTGGCTGCCCTACAAAGTGAGCTGCACAGAAAGGGAAGTAAACCAACCCTTGGAGAGGAAGCTTTGAATGAATAATGGCCTCGTCGCTGCGGTGGAATTGGGGTTTAGGTAGAAGTGAGCAGCCTTGGGTCAGGTTGCAAGGTTTAAAAGGGGCCAGTGCTAATTCCTCTGTGTGTGAATGTAACTAATGACAGCTTAAAACAAAGATGAAAATACCAAAAATAAAAAATAAGTAGGTCGTCTGGATGGGTTCTTCTTTGGTGAAACGTTTCATCTCTTCTCCAAGAGACTTCTCTAGTCTGATGAATTTCAGGTGAACTCAGCCTTATAAGCCCTGCCTCCACATGGACAAACAGGTTGGTCACATGCAAAAGAKGGTCATCRCTTAACAATAGGCTTSATTAGCTCTCTTGTTCATAGAGGGTCATGTGCCCCATCACCTGACCCATGTCGTTTTATGTGAATGCCTTGAATGCAAGCAGGGGTTCAACACCCCCTTGTTTTTGTCCCTCTCTCCCTCTTTGTCCCCCTGTGAGCAAAAGGTGTGAATCAGGGCCCCAATGATACCAACACAAAGCGGGAAAGAGGGACAAAAATAATGGGACATTGAACCCCCGCTTGCATTCACTACATTCACATAACACGACACGGGTCAGGTGATGGGGCACATGACCCTCTATGAACAATAGAGCCAATCGAGCCTATTGTTAGGCGATGGCCCTCTTTTGCATGTGACTATCCTGTTTGTCCATGTGGAGGCAGTGCTTATAAGGCTGAGTTCACCTGAAACTCATCAGTCTCTTGGAGGAGAGACGAAACRTTTCACTAAAGAAGAACCCATCCAGAGGACTTACTGATTTTTTTCTTTTTGATTTTTTCTACCTGGATTTCTGAGATTCATCAGGA